GAAGAATTATTGAGGAATTACTTTTCAAAAAATAAGAAACCAAGACAATCTGGAGTTCGTTTCATCACAGAAGATTCACACTCGGAAAATGAAATTGACCATGTTTTCCATATATACCAAGATGAAACAATAACTTGTTTATTAGGTGGGGTAAAGACAAAAATTTTGATAGACTCCGGGAGTAAAAGTAATCTTATAACGGATAAGACCTGGGAATACTTGAAAGAACATAATGTTCAAATCATTTATCAAGAAAAACATCCTAAAAAAATGCCTATGGAAGCAATAAACCTTTAACGGTATTTCTTTCGTATCCAAAATAGGAATAAATAACAAACATTAAGATGCCACATTTTATGTAATCAAAAATGATACAAATAATTAATAGGAAAAGACACCTCAAAAGATTTAGGAGTCTTGAAAATCAGGTTGGAGTCGGTGAACAACGTGTCCACCTTCCCTAAATTCAAAAACGTTCTCATTGATATTCCAATCGATGAAAACGTCAAGCCAATTCGTCAACCATATAGAAGAGTACCTACCCATCCCCTTAGAAACGAAAGTCAACACCAAAATGAGAGAACTATTAGACTCCGACATAATTGAAGAGGTGGTCGGTCCATCCAAGTGGGTTTCTCCCCTCGTTCCAGTTTTAAAAGGAAACGGTGAGGTTAGGATATGCGTAGATATGAGAGAAGCTAATAAGGCAATCATCAGAGGGAACTATCCTCTCCCAACTATGAACGAACTCCTCCCAATATTCAGAAATTCTCAACTGTTTTCCAGATTAGACATAGAGAATGCTTTTCATCAATTAGAAATATCACCTGATTCACGTCATATCACAACTTTCATCAGTAGTAATGGTATGTTTCGATATAAGAGACTGGTGTTTGGAATATCTTGTGCACCTGAAATATTCCTGAAAACATTAGAACGAATTCTTCTGAAGAGTGAAGGCACTGTTAATTCCATAGACGACATTCTTATATTTGGGAAAGATGAAACAGAACACAACTCTAGACTACGTTTCACATTGAAAACATTACGCAAAAATGATATTTTATTGAATGAGGCGAAATGCCTGTATGGAATGAAAAGTTTCCAATTCTTGGGTCATACTTTATCGATCAATGGAATCACACCTCTTGATAGCCATGTGGGGGTCATAAAAACTTTCAGATCACCAAAAAACCGTAGACGAGATTCAAAGTTTCTTAGGCCCCATCAACTATGTGGGCAAGTGGATACCAAACCTAGCGACATTAACAGAACCATTTCGACACATACTGAGACTGAAATTAGGAAAACATGCAAACATTGAAACTCATTGAAAAGACGAACAACGAAAGGCATTTGAACTAATCAAACAAATATCAACAAAAATCAAATCACTGGGATACTATAATCCAACTGACAGTGTATTCAGTTTGACGATAGGGGACCACGAATCATCGGATATAGAAATAAAAGTCTGACAAAATGCGAAAGAAGATACTGCCAGACAGAAAAGGAAGCGTTGGCTCTTGGCTGGGCGGTCGAACATTTCAAAGCGTATTTGTATGGCAAGGCGGAGTTCGAGTTAGTGACTGATCATAAGCCTCTCGAAGTCATTTTCGAATATCGAATATAGCTGATTCGTTATCAAGGCTTTGCATCATAGTTCCATCTGAACCTTTCGACAAAGAAAGCGTTCACTTATTGATAAAATATTCACGACCTGTAGCAATTTCTTTGAACGATATCAAACATCATTCGGAAATAGATGAGGAATTCGCCAAAGTGAGAAAGGGATTATTTGAAAACCACTGGGACCAGTCGACTAACGTTTATAAAATATTCCAATCAGAATTATGTTATCAAGACGGAATTCTTCTGAGAGGAAACAAATTCGTGATACCAACAAATCTGAGGAAAGATGTTTTATTGGCAGCACATGAAGGACATCCAGAAATTTCAGCAATGAAAGGCAGATTGCGAACAAAGGTTTGGTGGCCTAAGATCGATAGCGACGCAGAAAAACTAGTCAAGTCTTGAAGAGGATGTATCTAAGTATCGACACCATTACGACCTAACCCTATGAAGCGACGGGAATTACCATCCAAGCCATGGGTTGATATTGCTATCGATTATCTGGGCCCTCTTCCTGGTAAATATTTTATATTAGTAGTGATTGATTATTATAGCCGCTATGAAAATATCAAAATCACGAAGGACACAACTACTAGGAAAACAGTGGATTTACTCCAGGAGATCTTCTCTCGAATTGTCTATCCGTCATCGATAACAGCCGATAACGGTAAGCAGTTCGCAAGCCAAGAACAACATCAATTCTGCCATCAACGTGAAATAATCGTTTTCCGTAGCATACCATATTGGCCTCAACAAAATGGAGAGGTCGAAAGACAGAACCGAAACATTTTGAAACGAATCAAAATAAGCCACTCGCTGAAACAGGACTGGAAAAAGGAGCTCCTAGATTATCTAGTAATGTACAACAGCACCCCACACACGGTGACCGGTAAAACTTCGGGAGAACTTTTACGGCCGACAGTTCAGAGATAAAATCCCAAGCCTCATAGACCTCGAAGATAATGAAGAGAGCAACGAAGTAATAGACAGAGATAAAATTGAGAAGGAAGAAGGTAAAGAATATAGCGACAATAAGAGGAAAGCTCAGGACGACTCTCTCCAAAAAGAGGATAAGGTTTATGTGAAAGAGATGCAGAGAGAAAATAAAACCTATCCAAATTTCACACCAGCCTCCATACAATCATTAACAAAAATGGAACAGATGTGGAAGTCAGAAACGATGAAACAGGACAGAACCTGAGAAGGAACATAGTCCACCTGAAGGAAGTCAAAGGAGAATGGACAGTACTACCGAAAGAATACGATACTGTATGAGCAGACCAACTGACTTTGGCTAGTAGCTTTCATTCAAATCTTATATTTGTATATAACTGTTACTATTATTATAACCTATCATTGTCACTATCAGGATTATTATTAGAATTAGTAGTTATATTATTATTATCATTATTATTATTGTTATAAGGATGGATATCGTTAGTGTTTCATGTAATTATCATTAGGATTGTACTTTTATTTAAGTAGTATCATTGATATGTCCTAATCGGAATAAGTATTCCTTCACATACATTGAAAGTGCTGAAAACAAGGGAGAGATGTAGTATCCAGTAATTATGAATAAACGGATCAGAAAGACATGAGTGAATCATCACCATCGCAATGCGGATAGGTTGAAATAATGATAAGGAGATTCATTAGTGTCTGGACGATCGGACAGTGTACATCGGTGTTTAATTGTGTTACCCAATCCCAGTATATTACAGCATCAATAAAGAATGAGGTGTTGATTGAGGAAGTTGTGGAATTGAAATATGAAATCTTTGGTAGAAGTCCATATTGCTCAAAGTGGAGTGAAATATTTCACAGGAAGGAAGGAATTCTCGAAGTCATCCCCACAATTTTTTTTCCCCACAATTTTTTTTTTTTTGTGGAGATGACTTCGAGCATTCCTTCCTTCCTGTGATTGAAATATGAAGTTTGAAAACCTACAGTAAAATCATTACAAAAACACAAAAAAATACTAGAACTGTTACTTATGAATAAAATACAGTTTAGTAAAAACATACAAGCAGCAAAATTATAAATAAGTAATTCCAAGATACAATTTGAAATGTCATGGATATGTTCAAGTACCTAAATAATCAGTGATATATCCTTAAAAATTTGGATTCAGCTTCAAGGAATGAATTAAAACTGTATATCATATGCTATCAATTGAATCTGGGTTTTGGTTACCATACTTATTTTTCCAAGTCCTAGTCCTGGAGACATTTTCCCATAAACAGAATATGAACTGTTAATCATTTCAATCATGTTCTCTTGCAAATAAGAGTCAATTATCAGTAATAAATATATCTATGAATCACAAATTCACCTTATTGTTTTAATTATTGGACCAATGAAGTGAAGAAAGGTAGTAAGTTTTTGTTGGAGCTGCCAGCATCCAGTTTTCAAATTCATATTTGATTCTCAACGTTTATCCATTCCTTCCATTCAACAGAACTGATTTTTCAACATCAGAAAAGACTTCTTAAGTGCAGGAAATTTATTTTAATACATTATAGGTCCTATCTATTGGAACCTTCTATTTTTTTTGTGAGAGATATTATTCCCATATCACTGATAAACTTGAAACTTCTGTGTGTTGGAATGTTTATTTCTTCATATTGGCTGAAAAGCGCTTCCCTGGGGCAGCAGCTATAAGCATGTTGTGGTCATATGAAAGTAGACAGTTTAGCACAGCGCTTTTGGTCAGTTTTTGTGCTGAGATTGTCCATTGCCATTGCAAATATATCAGCTTCTTTCTAATTCACCGATAGTTGAAATGGTTGGGTCATTTTGATATCCTACAGAATGTCACAGGTTTGATGAAAGGCTTCTTTGTAGCTGTAATACTATCCGTAAGACAGTATTATTTCAATCACACACACGATGTAATGATGATTCAACAATGATTTTTGATATTTTCTGTGATAACTTCGAGAATTAACACAATTAACACGATTAAATAGCAGGAATAAAATGTATGCAAAACACACAAAATATGTAAACAAAGTGCCCTGATAACTCCGCCATCTTGTTTTTGATACAGCGCCGTCAACGGTCGATCACCTTGCCAAATTTCACTATGAAAGCACTTCTTTTCAATTCCAATATTAAAATCCAGTAGTCATGACCATGACATTATAATGACAAGTCGTTATTCATGAATACATACTAGACTCGAGTGCCATTAATTCGCATCAGAACAGTGCATTCTGTGTCTTTAAGGGACCCTAGGTTCATGAAATGACGAAAACTACCTTGGTAGTAAATCATACTTAACGCCTCGAAAAGGAATGCATAGTGGTAGGGTTTATAGCTAGTGATTGAAAAACGAATAAACAAACAACTGTTCGTTCGGCCAGGTCGAAGGGGCTCGGAGGACTGGACCGACCTGCCCGCCTCGCCGCGCCCGTCTGCGTTGGGACGGCTGAAGGAGCGCGGCGGGGGGCGGCCGAAGCCGCGCCTGCCTCGCGGGCACTCCCGGCAGTCGACCCTCGACAGCACCTCCACCGACGAAATGGACTGCGCGATCAGGGAGGGCGGCGCGAGGAGCGAGGAGGAGGAGGGGGAGGCGGAGGGGTTGAGGAGGAAGCTGAGCAAGGCCGAGGAGGGTGTGCGCCAGCTGGAGGAAGAGATTGCAAGGTGATGTTTGGTATCTGGGGAAACTTATCTACAGTAATATGTTGAGATGATGAGATGAGATTCTTTGTCATAAACTTGGTTCAGACTAGGGTCCCTTGATGGAAATTGACCTTAAAGTCATCATAACAGGGTACGAACAAATCATAGCTGCATTCTTTTTCAATGATCTAGAGACTTTAGTTTTGTCTACTGGCATCCCTGACATTGCTGTCACGTCACATCCAAAATTGGTATCTGGGTGTTTTCGGGGTAGGAGATAATGATTGTTTCGTCAAAATTTGAAAACTCAAGATGACGGATCCAATATGGCGAAAGACATTAGTTTGTATAATTATTACTCTATCACAAATAGAAAATATGTAGGATGCAAGAGTGAAAATTACGTGCCTATAAGTTATACTGCGTATTCCTGAAATTCTTTGTTACTTTCATCAATAAATTATTCGAAAATGACTTGTATATTCTATTCTATATTCTATTAGGTATCACTTTTTATCATCCTACTTTTCGTCCCAGACGAAGTTTTATACATAGTGTGATATAAGTCACTCCATGAATTCTTCTCTGAATTGGATTTCCGAAAATATATTCAGCACACATGACATGAGTACAGTAGTTCAGATACCCACATCGAGGTTTCCACCATTTGTCAATCTCAGTTTGAAATCAGAATTCATTCAGTCAATTCAGTCAACCCTCGTATACAGTCTAAGAACAGTCTCTTTTGGTGAAATATATTATGCTTTCAGTACAATTTATATGTTCCCTACCTCGCAAAGATTATGCTGGAGTAGTAAACTCTAAAACTAGAGGATTGTTCATCTATATCTTGGTATAGTTGAATCAGAAATTCCATATGGAAATTACGTATGATTCGCCAGTGACCTCAATATAACCTAAAAAACAACGAATGTCAAAAATCTAGTGTTTATCCCCAGAATTGAATAAGGATGGAACTATATAACTGTTTCACAAGGAGAGTGAGAGGAGACGAGGATCTGTCCGTACCCTGTTAAGATGACTTTAACGTCAATTTCCATCAAGGGACCCTAGTTCAGGTTAGCTTATTAGGTTTTGGGCCCTTTGCTGATTTGAATCGTTGGTTTCGTGGCGAAATTCATCAGAAAATCGGCACTGATTAGGCGTGAGTCTTTACTTTCTTCTGGTTCAGACTAGCTCATCATAATATTTCAAGACCGTGACAAATAGAGACTATTATCTTGAATTAATTTTGGTTAACTTTTATTTCAATTCCTGTTGAAAACAAAATTCACGTCGATAATTTTCTGATTTCAATATGATGTCATATCTTCTCAATATTGATTTTTTTTCCTGTCACAGAAAAAAATTGCGTATTATACACGGGAAAAATATTAGATTTTCTGCTCACGGTTTTTTGTATAAAATCTACCACTTCTTTTCCTTGTATAATTAATAACTATTTGTATGTGACTTGTAAAGAAATATGTTCTTTCAGAATATGAGAAAAAAATGGTAACTTTGTGGGAACAATAATATTTTCACATCATTTCCGCCTTTTTGAAAAAGGTTGAGAATGGTTTAAATACAAAAAAAATATATCGAAGACTGGAACCTTTGGCACGATAATACACTACACTGTTTTACCACTAACCAAACCGATTTTTCAACGCCTAAGTTAAAGTTGAGTTTTAATCTTCTCCTGAAGATGCTAGCATAGTTAGCGAAACACGTGTCGAGGCGTTGAAAAATCGGTTTGGTTAGTGGTAAAACAGTGTAGTGTACAAAAAAATATACCTTACACACATCTATTCAAAGCCCTTCTGCTAAATTTGCATTTGCATCACCGCAAGGATTAAACCATTCAAAGGCGTTTCTGCCTAAACCATCGAAAAATATATCAGGCACATCCTAGAATGGAGCAGGAGTAACCTGCGAATTCTGACAGGACTACTTACGGGACACTGTCTTCTCAGATACTACCTAAGAAAAATGGGTCTGATCCAACAAACCGACTGTCGGTTCTGCTGTGTGAAAGACGAAACGGCTGAACACATATTATGTTCATGCTCTTGCTTAGAGAGACTGAGGTTCGACATATTTGGCTTTACCAATTAAGAACCTATCGATTTCAGACAAATCTCACCTAATTCAACCATGGACTTTGTAAAAAGATGTGGATTGTACAGTGAACTGTAACCTCTGGTGAGCCACAATAGACCCATCTGGGGTCGCAGTGAAGAGGCGGTATTCGCCCCACTCAAATGGAATCTAATCTGTATATAACTTGGTCAGGTTGTGAATTTCAATACAATCCAAAATATCTCAATTTCCATTACATAATTTCAAATTAACTTAAGTTCTAATGCTATCCTCAAGAAAAATAACTTCCCGTCGTACTATCATGTACTAATAACAATTCGATTTCTCACAACAAACAGGTTGAAGAAATTTCAATCTGACGCAGCCATTCGAGAGAAAAAAGCCAAGGAGATGCTCGCCACACTGGAGAACGCCGAGTCGGCACTGAACCAAAGAAACTCCCAAATAGAACTCGACTTTCTCAAGGAGCAGCGGGTGCTGCAACGACGGCTGGCGGAAGCCGAGGAATCCGCTCGGCTGCACGAGGAGAAGTGCGACATCTTGACCAGGGACCTGCTGGCCAAGCAGCGGGCGCTGTCGAGTCTGCAGGAGGAAATGAACGGCTGCAACGACAGGCTGGCGCGGGAGCGCGAAGAGAACGACAAGCTGTACAAGCGGATGCAGGAGTTGGAGGGGAAGTACAACTTCAAGAACGAGATGTTCAACACGGATTCTATCGGAGAGCTGACTAACATCAACTTGGACTTGGATATCGACGATCTAAATCAGAACGAGATCCGGGAATACTGTCTTGATCTGAAAGGTAACTATGAGTTTTCCATTTGAATATTTATTATATCAATGGCGGTGATCAAGTCAAATTAACTATGAGCCTTGAGCATCTACACTAACAAGATGATCTACCTCCATGCTTCCATGTAAAATGTTGAGGCCAAATTTTGCCTTATTTCTTGGCTGGTTCGTAGGCCACCGATTTGTACTCGGAATATGCTCGAGTCCATCTATCTGCAAGTTGCGGAACTATCTAGGAATATCATTCTTTTTGAAGCAGAAAAATCACTAACTTTGCATTACCGATCTCTGCCCTTCGCTACTCAACAAAAAGTAATTAACCTCGTCGCTCATAGATACCGCCACCTACTGAATAGAATTTCCGGCTTTATTGCTCTTGCAAGGATGGTTCATCTTTTTAGTGTCAATAATCATGGCATTGAACTAAGACTGCAACTGTAAGAAATGATCCTTATCATGATTTTGATGGAGCTTTCTTGAGAAGTTTTCGTTATTCAAAACCCAGAGTGTTGATGATCCGGGAGCAAGTTGAAGGAGGAATTGTAACTCCAACAGATAGGTAGGTAAGAAACACAGATTATAGGGATTTCCTTTCGTGTGCTCCAAGCGATAAAAAAAGATTATCGGATGAAATTGTTGAATTTAATACTAATATTCATAACTAGCAGTGAAATTCTTTCCGACTGCTTTAGCGAGGGTCCGAAATGAACGGTAGCCATTGGAACAATATATGAGTCTCGATCGTATTTTGGCATTGTATCTTTTGATTCATCTGTTTTTTGACTGCAGTTATTCCTGGCCTCAACCTTCAACATATTCTGCTCCAGTCACCAGATTAGGGTGTTTGCGTCAGCGATGGTAGGCTGTTTGTTTCAAGGCAACATCTCGGATACTAGGTTGCGTGTTGATCAGAAGCGTTTTCAGGCAAGCAACTGACCCTACATTTTCGGGTTGCTGCAATATGACTACTAGCAGTCTAGATGGAGTAATGGGTCGGTGGTTAATGTCTCAAGCTAACAAAATCTGCTCTGTATTTCCAGGTCGATTCGAGCGAGCCATCGTGGAAATCCGAGCCGTCAAGAAGGCGTTGAAAGAGTGCGAGGAGACCAGCGACAGATTCGAGCTGGCCAACTTCAGCCTGACCGAAACTATCGGTCTTTTGAACGGGGAGCACGAGCACGAAGTGAAGCTGCTCGTGCAGCGGCTCGAGCACATGACGGCGAAGTCGGTGGCCGCTGAGCGACAGTTGAAGGTCAAGGCGAAGACGGAGGCGAAGGACAAGAGGCGGTCGCTGTCTCTCAAAGGTAACGTGTAGAGTTAGTAGCTTTTTTGGGGCAACCCCCCTGTATCTTCGTTGCTATTTTGAATAGATTTTCCGAATTCGGTACATGTGTTTGATTGCATGATTGTAAGTTCATCCAGTTTTTTATAAAGTTTTTTATAAAGTCATATTAAGCATTTTTTCACAGAAAAATTGACCTCATAATATTGTTCTTCATGGTTTCACACCCACATATGTGGATTTTCATAAGATGCCTGTGAAGGTTTTCAGAAGAACAGGCACATCTAAACAGCATTTTTGCGAACGTAATAATTATTTACTCGAAAACGGTGAGTTCAACATAAATAAGTATAGCTCGTTTTTCCTTCCAAATCAGGATTTTCCACCTACCGGAGCCATTGAACGTTCCAAAATTCGTAGTTGATTTGAAGTCGCTATTTATTTGAGACTGAAAATGAAAAAAATTAAGCCAATCCTGTTGATTCGGAATAAGGTAATTTTTTGCATATGGCAGTTCGAAAGCATGAGGAACAATAATATGAGGTTAGATTTCCTGTAAAAAAATGTCCAATATGATTTTATGAAAAATCGACCTCTTTTCAGTTCAATAAATACGCACGGCACTGTCCAAAATAATGTGCATCTCTGTAAAACTGATCATATTGATGGTTATTCATACCACACCAAATTTGGTTGAAATCGCATGACTAATAACTGAGATATAGAGGGGGAGGGCGTTTAAAGTGGGTCACACTGTAAATGTCCCATGTACCAAATAATTTGATCTGTTAGATCTAACTAAAAGGTCGTGGATATGACTTCGATTATTATTAGTAGTTAGTTGTATATGTATATTATTCCGTTCAGGTCGCGAGAGTGTCTCCATCAACAAGGAGGTCGAAGACAAGGTGACCGAGCTGGAAGCGAAGATCCTCGCGCTGGAGCGCGGCAAGTCGAAGCGGCGCTACAAGCGCGACAGGAGCAGCGAGCGCGCCTCCCCCATCGACGACAAGCACCTGCGGCGGCTGCGGCGCAAAAGTCTCGACAGCGCCACCTCCTCCGAGCCGATGAAGCTGCTCGTGCGGCTCAGCACGCTCGAGTCGAAGGTGAGATGAGAAGGATTGAAGGTCTTGATACACACAAGCAAATTAACTATTCCAAAACAATGTACTTCCATAGAATTCCATAACCGCCCAATTTATTTATTCATCTATTGAACAAATAACTTCCAGACAGAATAGGCTCTGGTATAAGGACGTACATAATTATTCACCTATAGGTAGACATTTCATCATCCAAAATATATCAACAAACAAATAATAATATTTGTAGAAAAAACATAGTGAAATAACTTGATTAAGAATTTTATTCAGTTCGCTTAGAAATAATCAGTTTTTTTACTTTATTTTTGAATGTACCTATATTTCTGCTATTTTTGATATTGCAAGGTAGTTTATTGAATTCAGTTAAGGCTGAATGAGTGAATCTTCTTTGTCCGACTATGGAGCTAGCGGCGTCAAGATGAAACAAGTTATATTGTCTAGTTTCATGATTATGAATTTCAGAATTCCGTATCAAAATAATATTCGACTTCAATTTTTTTATTAATGATATTATATGAAATTTCAAGAGTTGCAATTCTATATATTTCATTTAAAGAATACGTATTTGTTATTTCTTAGAATTGATTGGTTGGTGTATCAAATGGGAGATGATACAGTACTTTTAACGATTTTCTATGTAATGTTGATATTTTATTAAAATTATTTTTTTGACAAGATTCCCAACCATTTATTAAATAGTTGGTACGACTCAGTATATGAGAGTAGAGAATCATGTTTGCAATTTTAATATCAAGTTTGGGACATCTTCTCAATGCACCAATAATTAGAGATATTTTCTTTGTCCAAACATCAATATGTTCGTCCCACTTCAACCTGTCATCAAACCAAATACCAGTTCGAAGAAGATATTTCTTTGATTATACAGGGGTGTTTCTGAATTGCAAAAAAATGTTTTCCATTTTTATTGAAGCAGTCCAAAATTTTCAAAAATTGTGCGATTTTACTCATATTCACTGGTTTGAGGCGGCTGGTTACGTCATCACAAAACTTTTTTTTTAAGCAGCCCAAAATGTTCGCAAAATTGAGTGGTTTCACTGTGTTGTTAGGTTTCAAATTATTACGGAATATGGACACTGCATAGTCATTTCATTTCATAACAAGAACAAACTATCTTGTTGTCGCATCTTGAGAATCCTGTTATGTTTGTGCAATATTATCGGAATACCAAGTCTGTTCCACTTCGCACGTTCAAACGATGACATTCGATTGCAGCGACAATAAAGCTATAATAATGAGCTAAAACTGCATGCTAGCTGACTATTAGCTTGCATTGAGTAATAGTCAAAGTCATTGTTGAGGCACCTATTGTTTATCCACTGCATATCAATCTTCTAGCTGACTATAACTCTGAGCTGTTGAGACTGTTGGTAGCCGTGATTACCAAAAGATTTGATTAGTGGAAGAATCCTCCCAGATATAACTTTCAATATCGGTGTCTACTTCACCGACATAGTAGTAATTATGTCAGTCATTATCTTGATTGTCAAAAAAGTCACGAGATGGATATAAACCACAAAAATATGAAAATAGTAGCAAACTTTGGAGAAAGTGAATGCAAATTATTGTCGAGAGTAGTGAAAAGTATCGAAAAATCTTAGAGAGAATAGAAAAAACTTCAAAAAGAACCAACGCAGTGACATTTGAAGGGAGACAAGGAAACAGCTCGAAAGGCAAAATAGGACAGCTGTTCAATTCTGCAAGAAACTCATCTATATGAAAACTGGATCAAATTCATTCATTTTACATGGTTTCTGTGACAATGCACATATTAATTAAATATTGTTCATATTATATGTATGAGTATTGAATTCAACAATTCCTTCCTATAATCTGTGTCCTACTTAAGTACCTTATAAATTCATTTTGTTCTGCTATTTGATCCAGGTTCATCTTATAGCTGAATTAGCTGAACAATAGTTGTCACAGTAAACTAGGAGGATGATAAACAGTTTACTGGCATTCGTTAAACCGGCTCTAATAAGTAATTTCAGTTCGTCATAACTACAAAAATATAAAGGGAATAAAACGAGAACTGACAGTAGGTAAACGTACATGACATCAAATTCGAAGGTTTGTCTAGAGTCCCTGTATGTATTTGACTGTGGGGAGTAGTCACTAGATATTATCCAGCATGACTCTGCGTGGCGTCAGAGGCCGCAGAGTCGTGACTGGAGTTGAAATGAATTCAATAGAAATAGTAATAACGTTAATTTGTAATATATTGCACCATATTCATGATTCTGTGTCATTTAGGTGACGAACGTCCACACTTCGAACGAGTCTCTGAACACGCTACACGGGAGCATATCGGATTTGTCCAAGGCGAAAGACGAGCCGAATTCGGACGGCAAGAGTAACCTCGATGTGGACTATTTGTTGTCTTGCGCCAAACTAAAAGTCGACGAATGTTTGCAGAATGTCGGTATTCTGAAAAGTACGAATAGAAGGCGGTCTTCCTCGCCCAGCATTGACAGGTACTTGACAGTTTTTCTCTCTTCAACTCCGGTCAAATGGCATAATGCATGTAGATTTTACATGATCTTTGAATTTTTCAGGTTGCTCTCCCTGGAGAACTCCCTGAACGAGCTTCTGGACATCCTGAACAAGAGAGACTGTTCTCTAAGCGCCGCAGAAACTGACGTCATCAACACCTCTGCCACCGCCGTAGTAAAACAACTCCAAACCCTGCTACTCGACAAGCTAACGAGCCTGGCCGAGAAGAAAATGCACTTGCAAGAAAACCACCAGTGGGACGCGAACGCCCGACTGGAAATGCTAGCCGAGAAAGTAGCCTACGAAAATATTCTAGTCAGCAGGATACAGGAAGCGCTATTAACAGCAGTAAACAGCGAAACCGTCTGCGAGAGGTTGATCAACAAAGAGATACGAGAGACTGCCTACTTAATTATAGGCTTGCAGCAGAAAGTGAACGGCACGAGCGAAAAAAACCCCTTACCTTGCAGGACCAGCGTGGATTACCTGTCCAAAGTGCTGGCCAAGTGTCTGGTTTCGGCTTCCAGAGGCTTCAAATCCTGCAGGAACTTCGTAGCGACGAAAGGGCCTTCGCTGGACCTCCTGCTAGAGGAGAAACAAAAACTAGACACTCTGCTAGCTAGGTTTGTCCTATGTCTACTTTCGTGCTTTTGATTTTCCTATTAGAAAAGCTTTACTGGTATAGCATTCAGGGTTCTCTGCATAGCTTGAAATGCTATCTAACTTAGAGACAATAATCCGTTGAATTATGCATAAACAACATCAACCAATATTCAAGCACTGTAATGATAACTAGTGGAGTAAACAGACCGATTCTATTTCTTGTTTTTATTAACATTACTAATATACTGGGTACTAGTGATTCTTCAATAATAACATTATTTGCTGATGACTCTAATGCATCAATATAGGGACTCCATTTCAAGCGCTCCAAGAGATAAAAAACTCATTTCATGAATTTCACGCCAATAGATGTCAAACCAGACTACAGCCTTCTGCTGATATGCGACGCTGAAAGCATCATTCTAGCTAATGGAGTAGAGTTTGTTGGTCTATGGCTTGATCCTCATCTAGCAAACATTTTTTAATAATACAATTGAGGAACCGTGTGCATCTCGACACCCCTGCACTTGATAGTCTCATTAGGGGTGATTTGCTGGGGAAACTTCTACAGACACTTTTTGAATTGACTCGGCCGTTACTTGATGGAAATCTATGACAAATGTAAAAACTTCACAAACAATAAGATTTCCACAAAATTCTCAAACACATGACATGTTTCGCTAACACAGTAGCTTCGTCACGTGATATACTGGTAGGTACAATGAACTAAACTAACGTTGGCTTGCCTAACCTTTATATATCTTACTTTCCCAACCTGAAGGACTAGTTACCTGTGGACAGGTACGATAAACCTCCATTTTCGGAAATTAGGCACAATATCTACATTAAATTACAGTATACCGGATTAACTTGAAAGAGTTGATATCAAATACATATTATTACTCACTAAGAAAACAAATTCAACAGTGGTGAACTATTGAGGTCTAATTGATCATTAAGTAAAATGTCAACATTTTTGAGTTTGTTGATTTCTAGTGATTCAAAATGATTGCGTTTCAGTCCTTTATTTTCTTCGTGCAGAATTTCAAAATTATCATCAAAACTATAATTTTCTTCTAATATATGGTTGGCGTATATTGAGTTTGTTTTCTTTTATAATACAGAGACTGCATTTAACACAGTGACGACAATGGCATGTCATCTTTTCTATTGGTCGATAGAAATCCGCCATGTTCAGGCAAAACCCGCGGCAAATTTGAATGACTAGAACTTTGTGTTGAAAGGTTGAAAATAGTAGTGTTTTTCTGTGGTTTTCCTGTTTTTTTCTCATGCAATATTATTTTCCATTTGATCAAATATTCACACAGAACATAATATCGGCAAATTCAAGAATATTTTTAATGATCATAATAATAATGATTTATGTAATAATTAAAAAATCCGCTGTCCGCCATGTTTAGACAAATTCCGAAGTGCTGATTGTGTCAGAAATATGTCTGTGTATTTCTGGGGTTTTGTTGTTTACCTCATGCAGTAGGTATTTTATTTTCTATTCGATCAAGATCATATATTTCTGCAGAACATAATATTGGTAAGTTAGGAAATATTTTTAATAATCATGGTTTAACCTCATTTATTTATTTTTTTAGATTTTCTACCTCCAGTTTTATAAGTTGCATATTTATTTCAATGAGGCTGGAAATTGTATTACAGTATGCAGGTTTGCAATAACTTTATTGAATTGGACAGCTTGGGTGATCCAATAAGTTATGTGAAAGCTCCTAGAAGCCTCTTATGAAAACTTTGCATGCAGCATGGATTCCTGATGATGAAATATGATAATGTTGTCCATAACTCCACTCTCCAGCTACCCCATGTGATTGAGAAGCTATAGAATACCAAACATATAAAGAAATGATCAAGCAGTGACTTGAAACAGCATGAAATTATAATTACTTGAAGAGTATGTGCATTTTCATGGAAGACAATGTAGAATATTGGTGGACAATGACAATGTGATGAAAATAGTAAAAAACTAGTCATTAATAAAAAAAGACATTGATTTGCACAAACTAGTATGATGTTTTGTTCTTATAAAAATGTTAGTGATTTCACTATGCTGTATTCTGACTATTATTTTGACAATATTAATTATTAATAACAAATAATTTTTATGGAAAAAGTTCATTTTATTTCTCACATATCTCACAAATATACTGCCAGACACAAAGGTGATTGACATTAATCAACACTGATAATTAGTATAGGTATATTTTTTTACATCTATGTAGTTATTCCACCATTATTACAGTTATCAATTTACTGATATTTGATTATTTCTCCTGAACATAACAAATTAGGTATGATTTAACAAAATGATCATCATTATAAATACAAAATTAAACTGGAAACTACAAAATTTCACAAATCTCTTGCCCTAGTGGATAAAGGTACCTACTTACTAGAAAGTGGATTTAAAATGATATTTTCACACAATATAATATCTCATCTGATATGTGTCCTAGAAAGTACATAAAATATTGATTGATTTCCAGCAAGTAAACATCTAGTCCATTCACATTTTCCCTTTCCTTTAACAAATCTTATGTACACACAACACCTACACATTTAGTAAGACTGGCAAGATCTGTATAGTCTTTAGTCTATTCATAGCATATTCATAGAATCAAAATGATCAGTTCTTGGATTACCAATTATTATCATTGGAAGTACATATGAGATCTGTTTTAATTTCTGTGGGTTACCATTGGTTTACTTGAGAGAGGAATTATATTCCAGATTGCCATGTCACCTTCTCTGATGTTCTGATCAATACACCATTTTTGTCAGATATGTTATCTTTACTGTGTTTTTTCAACCAAAAAATCCTGTATGCAGAATTCTATTTCATTGTAGTTTGGGAGTAGACAAAGTATAGGTACATTTTTACCTTAGAAGCTTTACATATTTTCTTTTTCCTTCAAGTTGAAATCATCACTCCTGGAAAAAGTAAGTAATTATTGGAAGTAGTCATTCCTGATTCTCCCAGAGATCTAATTAGACTGTTTTCAATGACTCAAAATTTCACCTACTGATAGAAAACTTGTTATTCCTTTGAGTTTAGCAAAGTCCATGTACCTATCTGTGGGTTTGAGTACCAGCTTCCGAGTCTTTATTGGCTGCTTTTCAATTCTTCTTCTGAAACTAAGTCATCTACATAGCCTAACCTGATCTATATTCATTACATTGTTTGAATAAAGTGAAATATAATTATTTAATTCTAAATAACAACAAAATGCTTATCAAAATATCCCAAACAAAAAACATAACCAAATAATTAATAATTAGACAAAGACAGAGTATTTGACATTAGCCTAAACATGGCGGATGCCAGCCCGTTGTCGTCACTGTGTTAAATGCAGTCACTGTATTTTATAATATCGTATAGCGCCACCTGGTAGCATTGATTCCCGCGAATACTGCCGTTATATTTCAGTCAATAAGTCGCGTGCACGATGACCGACCCTGGAGGCAAAATATTGAAACACAACCTCACTTTTTTATTTGTTTACAGAGGAATCAAAGGATTGATATAGTCTTTCAAAATATTCTGGCATACGAATCGTGTTTCTTGCGCTTTTCATTAATTCAAGCATGCCTTTGCGTTGTGCTGTTGTACGATGCACAAAAAATGCAGCAAGAGACTAAGGAATATGATTTTTCAGGTAAATAATAATCTCACATAGTTATCATTATTAAATGTTGTCATTCCTTATCAAAATTACTTTTGCTTTCTGCCATTTCTGCAATACATGCAAGCTTATACTGCTAATAGATCGAAAATGTCTACAACACACACGATCGTCAGCATGTCAGACCAGTCCTCCCGATTGATTGCATGAATCCAATCTTCTTGCATTATTTTAGAAATTTCAGGTGTTTTTCTATTACCTCCTATTGCAGAAGAAATTCCGATGAGAAATCAGAGAAATAACCAAATTTCAAAAATGAAAACTATATGTGAGTGACTATAGGTAGGTACTTACTTTTAAATCATAATGTCCCATCCGGATTCCTTCATCTTCCGCTGCAGTTTTTGTGCATTTTACAACAGCACAATGTGATGGCATGAACGAATTGATGAATAGCGGAAAAATACGATTCGTATGCCAAAATAATTGTGGAAAACTATTTCGATCACTTGTAAACGAATAAGAAAAGTGAGGTTGTGTTTCAATGTTGTGCCTCCAGCGTCGGTCATCTGACAGTTCTTGCACGCAACCAATGGAAATAAAGATTTCGTATTCTCTTTTGTATGTGTAGCCATAAAGCCCTCAAGTTACCACAGCTAGCCGAGTCTCTGGCCTCGGAAACGATGAGCTTGACATCTGACAGGTCCTGTCGTTTGAGATCGTTGGCGTTGACAGACGAAACCTTGAACGAATTCGGGAAGACGGCCAGACAAGTGGTCAACGCCGAGCTGATCCGTTCGGAGATCAACCACGTGCTGCACAGGGCGGCGCAGATCTACCGGTCGAACGTCGACGAGGATCACACGTTCTTCTTCGGCTTTTTCGCCTCGGAGATGGCGGCGTTGGAATTGTTCGCCGATTCGGTGAACGAGGCGCTGTACGAGGAGATCGATAGGAGCGTGGCGGAGCTGACGGATCTCTACCAGAATTGTTTGAACAAGCTGTTGAAACAGAACTGGAGGTAATGATTTTGGTTTTATTTGGGATTCGGATTGCTCATTCAATTGTGTATAACATCATTTTCTCACGTTTATCCACCTTTTCGGAATCATGACCTACAGGATGATATCTGAAAGTGTGATAATTTTAGAAAAGTTTGAGGTCGCCTCGTTAGTAGGTGTGGTCGACCGACTTAGAGTCTTTTCTTTCATTTATGAATACTGTGGGGCCACTTTGAGAATGGATGATTTTCATAGTTTACAAGATATTGTATTTATAGCCAGAAACATGCAACATTATTGTTGTTTTGGAATGATGATGATGATGATGAGAAATCTCACATTTCTAAAGGAAACAAAATTCCACTATACTACTGGAGCAACAATAAAAAATACAATTTTATTCATAAAATAATCCCTCCACATTCATTTTATTCCTCCATACGAACTAACAGTTAGTCTTGGTACGAGTAAGTCGCAAATATATAACACTAGAAACATACATTATAATTACCCTGCACATAGATTGGCGGTAACAGAAAAAAATGCTTCATATATTTCAATCAAATTTTTCAACAAGTTACCAGAAAGAATTAAGTCTCTTTTCTCTCCAAACGTTTTCACTATCACCTGGCAAGCGTTGTCGGTCGAATTTCGGAACACCCTGTATAAATGACTGTTGTTGCAGGTACAGGGTGGAATTGGAGCGCACCCCCCAATCGTCTGCCAACCTCCTGCGCGAGTACGCCGAAGTGGTGGCCCACAAGGCCCTCATAGACGCCCGGATATCCGTCCTTGCAGGCAAGTTCTCCCCCACCACCACCACCACCGACAATGTGGACGGGCGGGCAGACACTCTGGCCTCGTGGGCGGAGAACGAAGAGGGGTGGGCGCACCTGCGCGGTCAGACGGCGGTCGATGAGCGGCTGGAGGCGGAGTTCGCTTGCATGATGGAGAGGTTCGGGCGGGAGTGTTACGCCTCGGTGGGGCAGCGAGAGATGGAGGAGGTGGCAGGATATTTGGACGAGATGGCGAGCAAGGTACAGTTTTGTATGAAATGAATTAAATCTTTATTAGTAGGATACATACTAATATACATTACAATAATTATTCCTTAGCTTGATAATAAAAATAAATACTTTCACACAAGTAATATGTACAGACATACATGAGTGTACATTACACTATCCTAGTAACAATTAATGAAATGATTAAAAAAACTATAATAACAATAAAAATAGACAATAGTGATCAAATGACAAATGACAGATACAATCATTTCCCGGCATTTGAGAATCAGTTTTAATATTAGAAAATAAGATATTCTTAAATTCATTCATCGATTTCGATTATTTGACGCCATTCATCCATAAATCTGTGAAAAGTAAACGCCAATAATGATATTAAATTTCATACATTCCGTCAAATATAATTATAAACATTCAAATCTGAACTGTGAAGGCAATTGTCATAAACACGAAAACATAACCAGACAAAAAGATATGTTTACTATCATCAAAATTAAATCAGATATGGGTAAAAGATCTATTTTGAACAATGGAACAATTCTCTATAAGGAATTACCTACTAGACTGAAGAAGAAATTAAGTGTTGAGAAATTGAAAAAAGAACTGAAAAAATACTTATGTCTTTGATTCTCTTATATATCATCCTAAATCAATTCAAGAACTTATATTCAACAGTCTCTAGCAGAAACAACATGTATGTATATGATTTAAAAATGATTATCTGATTATCTTTTTTCTTTACTTGCTCTTTTATAATTTTCCCTGCTATAAACATATATGTTTCTCTGGAATAATAAAGATGATTATTATTATTATTATAATGAATGGAATCATTTATCATTTATGGGTGAGTGCTCAGGCTGAATAAGAGACACTGCGATTCATTTATAAACCATTGAAATCTATACGCCGACAATCCTAAACGCCAAACACGGATAAATTAATGAAATCGCGAATGGTGGAGATAATAACAGACATTTTCACATTTGCGGGTGATTGCTCAGACTAAATAACAATAGATCGACCCCACGATTCATTCATAGATCAATAAAATGTATACGCGAACAATTCTAAACGCCAAGCACGGATGAATGAACGAAATCGCGAATGGTGGGGATTAAACTGTGGAATCATTGCCAGAGGATTGATAATCTTCATAGATATAGCGTACGCTACCTATCGGAGTTTTTGAAAGCTGTTTACATTTGTTTCTTGATTGTGCTCATTGGTGTCATCCATCAAAACAAAACGCTGAGAAGTGTTCAAATGTAGCCGTCAGATGGCGCAATGTGTTATATTCTATCGCGAATAGCTAATTAATCGGGATTCCAATAAATGTGTGAAGGGAGAACGAGGAGGTGTAGGCGCATCTGCGTTGACAGACGACGGGGGGTGAAAGGCTGGTGGCAGAGTTCGCTTGTATAATTGAGAGGTTCGGGCGGAAGTGCTACGCCTACGCCATAACAAAAGGTATACACCGTGATTCGTTTATAAATCATTGAAAAGTATACGCGACAATACTGAACGTCAATAACGGATAAATAAATGGAATTGCGAATGGTGGGTATAATAACAGACACACTGATGAGTGCTCGGACTGAATATCTAATAAATTGGGATTTCTATGAAAGTGTGTATGTGCATTAATGACCTAATTATCACGTATTGTAACAATGATACGTCATTTTGTAAAGTCTAAGTGTGGTTGTTTGATATATTCAATAATATAAACTTCTGTTCAAGGTGATGGAGTTGAGAGGGGGTTTTGATGTGCCTTCTACCGAAGGGGAGGCGATCATTTTGAGGAGTTGGAGCGACATCTGTCAGAAATGCATCAAGCTGAGGAACGATCTAGAGGAGGTGCGAGTCTCTTTGGACAAACCAAACACGTTGAAAAGGTTGGTTCAATTGGTTTTCACATAATGAATTTGTTATCCTTTACTACACGATTTTTTTATTTGAATTACATTACTGCATTTTATTTTGCTATTTATGTCTCTATAGAGTATAGACCATTTATTTATTTATGTTTGTAATATTTTGTTTGATATCACATGTCTTTGATGTATTTTTTCACTTATATTCGTGTTGCGAATATTTTGAATAGAAAACGAAGAAAATATCCACCTATCTCTCTGTTTATCTATTGAGGAGAAGGACAACGGGCCTGTTTTATTCAATAAATTGTCATTATCTTTCTCAAAATTTTGTAGTTTTCGAATATTCATTGAAATATGTGATATTCCAAACCATCACGAGAAGGTAGCGTGACGTCATCTTCAGTTCTACTGATTTTCCGTTGAACGTACAGGAAAATTTCCACTGATTGTCGATCATTTCACTAAGTATTTTGGTGGAATTCTCATTGACACCATATAATTTATTCTAGTCTAATCAATAACTGGTTCTGATATGCTTGAAACTTTGTTCTCGGCGAAAAATGCACAAGGTAAAACACCACAAATTCAGTAAAATACAGTATTTTCAAATTCATATCAAGAATATTTAGGTTGGGCTAGGATTATCTTAGTATTAGCATCCATTTTCCACTGTCAGTTGGTATAGTGTAATCATATGAATTAACAAACTCACGCTAAATTGAATCATTGAAAAATATACGCCAGCAATCCTGAACGCCAAACATGGATTAATGAATGAAATCACGATTTTATTGTAAACATCATATAGGCCTTTGGAAGGTTATTTGATATTTTCAATATAATGAACTCACAAGACCGCCAGTCGTCACTGGACCAAATTTCTATGTACTTGTGAAATATCATGTAATTATTTGTAATTAACTTTTATTCATAGATTTGACACTCACAAAATAGTCAGATGCAGATTAATAATATCAAATGAGTTATTACTGATATATCAAAAACTAATCACACAACAGCCAAAAAACCATTATCAATAATAAAAACGACAAATGGCATTTCTTACAACAATTATTGCTCGTCTACTATAAAACTTTGTGGTGCCCCCATGTTCATCTTTGAATAATCCATATTTTTCATTTTGTTACGTACAGGGCCAGTTCTATTAATGTGAACCCCTCTTAATATTTTTTGTTTTGCACCCATCAGAAAAAAATTGATACAGATTTGATTATTTATTATTATTTTTCATATAGGTTCCAATCATAGTGGTAGTGTTGCAATATCTCTTCAAATATACAGAGCATTCAGAAAATATATATACTTTTTCAATGGAATGTGCTGTATATTTCGATAGATATGAATCCCTTATATCATATATTTGAAATAAATTGAGTAATCCATATCTATCAAAATATACGGCGCATTCCATTTGAATAAAATATATTTTTCTATAGTATACTCTGTATATTTGAAGAGATATTGCATCATTGTCAATATGAGTGAAATCTGTATGAAAAATTGTATAAAATCTGCTTTAATTTTTTTTTGAATGAGTGTGAAACAAAACAGATAAAGGGGTGTTCACATTAATAAAACTAGCCCTGTAGTTTACGATGACTAAGTTTATAATCATCGATTTGGCAACGGTTTCACAGAGGTCATAGAATGTGATGTCTTTTCCTTATCGGCGAGACCTTTGAATTCGCTGTCATCCGACCAAACACAAATGGCCTGCAGGAAGATTCTATTTCACGAATCGAGTCGAATCGGCCATCTTAATTTGATATTTGGTATTCTTCTCTAATGAATCGTGTAAACTCGACTCGATTCCACGATAGCTCAAGAGGAGTCGAGTCGATGGGTTTGTCAATCTATCCTTTTCTATCATCGAATGTTTCTTTTCATCTTCATCCCAATTTGTGGTTAGATCATCTTTGCTCATGTTTATATATAATTAATTTTCGATGTCGTTCAAACTGAGAGATGCCCACTGGGAAATGTCAATAACATTTTTAGAACAGCACAGAACATGCCACGACCACAGGATGATTATCAGAGTCTAATGGTCTTGACATCAATAAAATACTGTGAATCAGGCTAAGCCAAGTGAATTCATTGGGGCTTGGCGAGTGAACTCCTGAGAAATAACATAAGGTAGCATATTTGATATGATCCAGTTGCCTAAAACCTCAATGCACAGAATATTTGAGATTCTGTATACCTAATCCCTTCATACTTTGAATTAATTATTAATAGTCGCGTTTGTTTGTGATTCTCTGGTGTAAAAAGTGTGTAGGAACGAATAAAAATACAAAGAATGAAGAATGACATTGATGTGAAGACAACCGTGTGGAAACCACATGTAATCAAAATGACATAATAATCATCAATAAAAAACATCAAAGTTTAGATTTTTGGATCTTTGGATTGGATCCATGGATTGATGATACATATTGAATATTGGTTTTGGTATATACGTGCGGGCAGTGGGCTAGGTACGTGGGAATTTCTAACTATGACTAACCAATAATCATTCCCTAGACATTGGTGTTATTCGATATTATAAAATATCCAAACATTCCACCACGCATTCGATGTTTCGAGACCGAATGGCCAGTGCCACCAGGATGATAAGAAATTCCACAGAATATTCATAGAATGGTCAATAAAACGACGATTCTGTCCCATTGGTGACACTAGCAATGCCAATAAAACGGAAATAATATTTCGTGTTTGTACCGTGACCGTCCCTCTTTTTCCCAGATCGAAATCGTCTGCGGACGCCAGGCCTGCCTACCTCGCCACCGAGTACCTGACGCAAGTGGAGCACCTGCGCGCTGCTTACAGGGGCGCGCAGGTCGTCTGCGGCGACCGGGCGGCCGTGGAGCGCCTGCAGCAGTTGGGCGAGCGCGTGCTGCAGGCCATGGAGCAGTGGCACCGGCGGACGGTGCAAGAGATGCGAGAAGCGCACGCGCAAGAGGTAATTATTTATTTAAAATCAAACAGGACAATATCAGACGACAGGGTCCAAAATGAACTGGTCAACATTAGGTGCGTTACATTGGCAAGCTTCTTCCACTGGAATGACAATTCTTGTCGTTTTATTGAACGAAATTCTGAAACTGGTTCCAAATTTTCATTCCGTCTTGCCATACGGAATGACAGGAAGACGATTGTGGAGGGAATATGTACGAAATGACGGACATGGCGGTATTTCAGATAGTCTAAACTCAAAATCTGACTCAAAAGTTGCCTAAAAGTGAACTCGCCTCAGGAAATATTCTGAAATTGTTCGCAATTCCACCCAGAATACTTTTAAACACTACTGGACTCCTGAAAAGACTTGAATGTTGATAAATCCATTTGCGGTATTACTTCTTCATAATACATTTGAATTTTTGGTATGATAATGCTAGAAAATCTGAAAGTATTAACATACATTCAGTCAATTATTCCGGGAGATAACATCAAAAGACTCAAACAAGTATAAAACCTTTCAAGTATCAATTAATCGTCGAAGAAATGCATCATTCTGAAGGAATATTCATAACACGTTTATCAAAGCTCTGAATTTGAAAATTCCGAAAACGTTTCGATAGAAAGCATCAATCAAGAGGATACAGGTGATGAAAAAAAATAAAAAAAATTATCTGTTCAAACGGTAAGATGACGACCACGATGCAATTTTACACCCATTCAATTATTACTCTGTAGCAATGTTATCTGAAATTACAGAAGTTTTATATTGTCACAACAAACTGTCAAGAGATTAGGCTGATCATCGGTGAAAACCGATTTCAAATTGGTAAGGAAATTCGTGAGTTATTCTAATTTGAATGAGGGACTTCGCTCCAAGTTGCCAACCTAAAAACCTCTACTTCTGTAGAAGCAATATTATGAAAGTTTGATTACTCAAATAGCTTTATTTTGGTGCAATTTGATTGTAGGCGACTACTCAGCTTTCTAATGAAAGTTATTCAGAAGAAAAATAAGTTTTTGTGAACTACACATCTGACTGGTTGAAAATCATGGTGGTGCATCTGCGGTACGTCAATACTGAAATGTCAATACTTTCAATAGTGTCAGTAGTGTCACGAGTGAAAAATGGAATATTATTGAATCACCAAATCAGTTCGAATCGCGTTCGAACTTTCGAATAATGATCAAGAATATCTCATGAGAAACGTGCAAACCTATAATAAACTGGATGTGAGGGTTCCAAAATTATCTGGTCTAGTGCTACTCTCGACTCGTCGTAATCAACATAACATTGTTCCTCACTACCTGTAATAGGTATATCATGCTAAAATGAATATTGTGATATATGAATAGTCTTGTGATTTCCACTACCAAAAATCTATCTGTGTCTAATTATTTGAACAAAGGTATCTTATTTTGATATTGTTGTATTCGACATTTGTGATAGTATGTATCTCTATGACTGGAAACTTTGACCAGTTTTTATTCAAGGTGAGTCATGTAAGCTTAAAAAATATTTATTGAACGATATCTTTTCCCTATTGATATTTTTTACTAGGAAAACGTTTATAATTACATAGGTATGTTAGTATTTTTATTTAAGATATCGACTGTGATTTCTTCGTTTCCAAACAGTCATGGTTTCATCCACTTAAAGACACTTCCTTGGGTTATTCTTCATTTCAGAAGGTTGAAACTTCATTATTTTATTCTTACTAAATCATGTCCGGATCGATTTTTAGCACTCAAATGAAATATATTCCTACTTCCTACTGCAACGATCAAACCTCTTTACCAAATAATGATAAATAATAGTGTTGTCCATAAATGAAATGATCTTAAATATGTAACAAAAATGTGACAAGTAATAAAATTGACGAAGATATGACAAATTTCAGAATGAAAGCAGGTGCATCAACATAATTTTCAACTAATCAGAACTGGAGTTCACATAGATTAATTTTTCTTCTGAATAACTTCTCTTCGTGAGCTGAGTAGACTCCAACAATCAGATTTCATCAAAATGAAGCTATTTGAGTAATAAAACTTCCATAATGTTGCTTCTACATTGGTAGAGTTTTTTAGGTTGGCAACTTGGGGCGAAGTCTCCCATTCAGGCTATATTTCGGACCACGTCGTTATCAATGTTGACCAGTTTAGAATAAAGGAAAAGGAAGTGGCATACAGTAGTACCAACTATTTATACAGGGTGTTTCAAAAACCTAACCCCCTTGCTAGGGTAGGTAGAACATTGCCAAATAAGTTGGGTTTGCTCAGTGAAAAAATGTCGTAACGGCATCCGTTTTCATGATACAAGGTGTTGAAAAAATTTTTTTTTTACACATTTTTCACGATTATTCCGAAACTACTGGCAACATTGTAATGAAATTTCGTATGGATGTTTCTTGAAATCTGACACATCGCATGAATTTGTTTTTATATCTGACTCTCATAGAGGGCGCTAGTTACACGGTTCGTACCGAGTAGTTTTGAACATAACTTTTTTGAGGTTAGATTTTTCAGTCCAAATTTAATGTGAACTTGAACATCATTCAATTTCACACCAAAAAGGTACCCTTGGTGAAACTCGATACTGTGTTCCGTTTTCGGAATATTTCGATTTGAAAATGATCCCTGTTATCAACACTGTAATAAAGCTGACTACACAACAAAGAATTGTAAACCAGTGCGTATTGCTCCACCAGTATCATCTCCCTTTCTTCTTTCAAGGTCGACCTGCTCAAACAGGAGAAAGACCAAGCGTTGGCCGAGGAGACGCAAGCCACGCTCGCCGCCCTCGACGCGATGCGCAAAGCGCACGTGGCCGAGGTGCAGCGCGAAGTGGCCAAGTTCAAGCGCGAATTCGCCCGGCAGCGGCGCGACACCGTCTCCGAGCTGTCGGACAGGCTGTCGGCCAAGTCGCTGGAGGCGGCGGCGCTCGACGAGCGGCTGGGCACTGCGACGAGACAGCTGGCGCACGCGCAGCAGCACATCTCGCGGCTGGAGAGGAACCCGCAGATCTCCATGCAGGTAAGTTTGGCCATGGGCTTGTTGCATTATTTTTTAGTACTAGAGTCACTGGATGGTATTAGTTTGATGAGAGTTCGGACACAGCTGAACTTTTGGCATTTTCTATTTTCTATAATACGATGGTTTGAGTGAATAAATGAATAAGACATATATTCTGCTCTTTGTCTTCTCAATTTCCCTATTAGCTCCTGATTGTCAGATACGATTTTAGGGATTAGATTTCCTGTCAAATCAATTATAGCCGCAGATAGACAATGGAAATAGGGTACAAACACCTACTTCAATTTATACAGTTCTAGCAGAACTGTATGAATGAATAGAATGCATGTAACAACATTTTAATATTACAAAATATACACATATGGATAAACTTATAGCTATAATTCCTCATTGTATGTGAAACTGTACTCCAGTGATCAGTATAAAACATGAAGATATTATTATTAGATTAACTCTTTCAGGTACAGGAATTTCGAAATATATAATATAATATAGATGTACAGTTTTATTTTTCTCCAGATTTTCAAGCGACTCATTAAAAAACTAACTCCAAATGTCTCAAAAGATACGAACAAATATAAAATAATTTCAGAATTTTCCAATTTTTACAAAAAAAAACGGTGGGTCAAAATCTAACCCACCATTCCATAAGGTGAAAGATTTCATGAGAATCGGCTCACTTCAAATCACTGTGAAGCGTCTGCAAACATGTTTTGTTCTCTGCAAGACAGAGTGAAACATACAACCAGTTTGTTCCAACTTCAAACTCTCCTGATTTGCAAAGAGCATTATCTCCTTCGCTTTGTTCGGGTAGGTTGATGAGCACCCTGTGTGACTCTCATTACCGGGCTTTGACTGAGTGTTTTTCTCCATTTGAATCGTCCATTCGATTGATGTTCTCGATGAACATACTGATATTTATTGACGACTAAATGATCAAATATTTCATTGATAACTTTGAAATATATAGAGTATTCTGTGAAGAATAGAATATGAGTTGACTACAGCGGCATCCAAGGTAAATATTTCATGAATATCTGTTCCTTTATAAATATGTCTTTCCATTCGTCTGATAATTTTGCTTAGTATATGGAAAACTATGTGATTCAATAATTTGTTCCTGATGAACTGACGAGAGAGATTATCGATCTTGAGCAACTCCAGAGGTTCTATTGAAATCTTTTGGCTGAACGATCTCATTCACTCCACACCATTTTTTCTCTATCACTGGTTTCAACTCCGCGATAGGGGTATCAAATCTTCTGGGTCCCATGTATCCATATATAAGTACTTGTGTCTCGATAATTTTGTCAGACAGTATAATGTTGTTAAAATTGAATTCGACATCATTTTCCTCATCATTATCCTTGAAAAATGTCTTGGTCATGCTGTATGGTGGGACAAAATTCAAACAGCGTAGATTTTCACATTTTTTGAACGAAAAATGAACATATAAGTTGAAAAAATATAACATAAATTTGCAGCCGCAATTCGAGAGGAGAAACACAACGTTCGGAACAAGTTTCGTGTTTATTCTATTCACTGATAATGTATTGTTTTATTCGCTTCAGCTTAGAACATATGATTCAAGAAACCAATATGAGTGAGTAATATGGGGCGGGAGAGAAAATAAACCGTTGTACCACAAATCATAAGCCCATTGCAGAGCGGGATATATTTTGTCCCAGCATACCTCTAACTCCAAGAAATTCGTGGGTCAAATTCTGCACCAAAGTACTTGAAAGAGTTAAAAGTAGGTATTGTCAATATACAGGAAGTAACATAAGTACGTTCAAGTGAAGTATTCCTGAGACAATTTCAATAAAAAAATATAGTCTATATAAGCTTGTGTCCGGATATGCTTCATTTCGGAGATACAGGGTGTCGAAATACAGAGAACAAATCATTTTTCGATAAACATTTCATGGGAAAAAAGTAGCGCCCTAAGAATCTATATAGGAAATTGTAAATATCTCCAAACCGATAACCTCCAGCGTATTTAAGGCCGTTATAATAATTCCCCTGATACATAAATGACTATTCACTTTTCACTGTTGGATTTTGAATTTGGTCGGCACCAAAAACGCCATTCAATAATATATCACGTTGTAGTTTACTTGCTTCTATTAGTTTCGTTTTCAAATTTTCAATTTCATTATGTAATTTTGCGATCAATTCCTCTTTTTCCATGATTATTTTGTTTTGTATTTTGTGTGATGATAATAATGGAATTTTGTTCTTGAAATCGTCTACTTTGTAAATTGATGGAACAGCAGATTCTCTCAAACAGATTTTGAAATCTTCTGTTTGAAAACGGGCCTAAAATATAGTTTCATTCTAATCAGATGCTGTCATGAGAAGTGAATCTTAATGAGTACCTCACAAATTTTGCTCGTCTTCAAATTGATTTTCCTTCCAGGCCGTTTCATATCTTTATTCCATAAGCAAATGGTTGATATTTGTTTTGGAGAATTGAATAAATGGTATCCATTTGTTTTAGAATTGGCACAATTCATTACACAGCAAGTGATTTCCATAACAAGTATAATTATGAAATTTTATTTCAATTCTGACGCTTATAAAATTCATTGTCAAATTCAAACAATTTTGAATGAAAAAGCGTGGGACGACTATGGTGCTCTTTTGTCACAATGCAAGGTGTGTAACTTAATAAATCTAAACATTCAAAAACCCTAACCGTTGTCATTTCTGTGTCCGAACTCTTTTCAAACCAATACCATCCAGTGACTCTACTTAGTACTAATCCAGTTACTGGCAAAGACATTCGTCTATTCGTCGAGTCAAGATGTTCTTCTAATTTTGACACTTTTCAAAACCGACTGAAGTATTGAAACGTCTTACTTCACGTAACCAGTTGCATAATAGTATATTACACACCGAGGTGGGAAGTGATTTATTCCTGTCGTGAGATTAGTTATAGGGTCCCTTAATGTAAATCGACGTATTTGTCATCTTCACAGGGTACGGACAGATCCTCGTCTCCTCTCACTCTAAAGTGTTTGTGAACCAGTTATATAGTTCCATCTTCATTCATTTCAGGTGATAAACACTAGATTTCTGACATTTGTTATTTTTTAGGTTATATTGAGAACATTGGCGTATCATACGTAATTTTCACATGTAATTTCTCATTCAACTCTACATATTATATCCAAATGATGATGATAATTTTCGAGTTTTTGATTTTTCAACCCCAGCATAATCTTTGAGGCAGTGAGCAAATTTTTCCTGAAAGTTCAATACGTTTTACCAAATGGGACTGTTCTTAGGCAGTACCTATCAATAAATGAATTTTGATTTCAGACTAAGCCTTATGGTTGAGCAATGGTGAAAAATTGTATATAGATATTCAAACTAATGTGCTCATATGTCATGTGTGCTGTATATATTCATGTTGGAAATAATTTTTGCGGTTTTTCACGAACACTCAATATTTCCTGAATGTAGGTATATTTTTTTGAATGGTAGGGCATATGCCTCTTTCTTTAATCCTCCGTTTTAATCAAAACTGTTTCTACTAAATTGCATTCGAAAACTTGTGGAGTGGATAATTATAGGCACAATGAGAAAGTATAATATGTGATTTCGTATTTGTTTTACCTCGAATATTTTGCTGATGTATTTAGCAATTTTCCCCATTCGGTCACTTCACTTTCCATGTTCTAAGTTCATTTGCATTTGATGGAAAGCTGAAAAATCTAAATTTGCCATCCAACTGATTGATACAGCCTAACACAGCACATTTACCATCCTTCTAAAACAGAATTGAATAATGTCGTATTAAGATCTTTATAACGCCTTTGAATGAGACGTGACAGCAATGTCATGTCAGGGACGCCAATACACGAAACCAAAGTCACTAGATCAATCAAAGAGAAAGGAGCTATGATCTGTCCGTACCCTTTTAGATGACAAATACGTCAGTTTGCATCAGGGGACCCTAGCGCGGTTTGATGGACAATACATAATGTTAGCTCCTCATTGAACCAGAACAAGAATTCAATATCACCAGGCTCATGAGGTGTATTTCTGACAAGTACCAATATTTTAGGGAAACACTCTTACCTAATAAGGGGCAACATGATTATTCTGTTTCACTGCTGGTGCTTGAGGGCTTTTTCAATGTCAAAGTTCCCTAAATTTTGATGAGTAGCCCTGAAGGATCGGCTTTTTTTTCAAATTTTGCTAAAACGATGGCATGTCTTATGCAAACAAATACAAAAACTCGATTTATAGTTGTCTTGCGCAGGCTTGGCTTTTTTCTTCCAATGTGAAACTTACCTCGGATCTTCTACATTAACACTGAAAAATATTTTCCGAAATAGGTTTCACATTGCAGTTATGCAATCTGGTGAACTATCATAGCATACAGTCAGCCCTCATTCTATGGAAACGGAAATGTTCATTTTAGAATTTTCCATAGTGAATCTTGTTGCGATTTTTGATTTAAATGTAATGATTTTTGAGATATTCAACAATATAAACATACAATAATACTGTTTTTTTCTCTTTCAGAACTGATAGCGTGTGACGGTCGGTAATAAGCAAAAAATATACTAGTCCTAACAAGCCTCATATACCAGTGTAATTATAAGTACAATATCTTCACCGTTGTGTACAGATGATAGCACTTCTTTACACATGTTTTAACAATTGTTTTCCCCTTTGAAAATCTTTATTTATTTTTACCTCATGCTCATCCGTATTCAAGTTTTTTTTGTACAAATAACGAGTTTTTTTTTCTAACAGTTAACAGTTCATTGTTTATATGTGTTGGGTTTTTATGGAATGTTTATATTGAACAAAATAGAAATATATAAATTATTGATTGTCTTCTGACTATTTATTTCAACACCCTTTGGTGGTCCTCATGGATATACTGCCATAGTAAGTGCAATGGCCGTTCTATCGTCTTCGAAAAATTCTCAACGAACATGATTTGAGTTTTACTCTATTTGATATATCTTAAATTTTCTGTA